GTGTCACCCAAGACAAAGTGCATCACCTGGCAACTGCTTTGTATTGTTGCTTTTGAAAAGCGACCTTGCACACAGTTTCACACACTGAACATTTCTAGAACCAAAGATATGGTCAGTGACTTCCACCTTCTCAAACCAGCGTTAAAGGAGAGGCAGCTGAAACTGCAAAGAGCTACAGATTCTCTGGCACTGACAAGAAACGGAGCTCTGAAGTGAACATACAAGAAAGGGCCATGTAAACAAAGGCTTTACTTTATGTAGAGCTGATTTTTAAATGATCAAAATAGGAATCAATTAGGAAACATTGTCTAGACAGTGAGTGAAATGACAGGTGAGCAGCAGCTTCTCTGTCAGATAGATCCATCCTTTCTAAAAAAGCCCAGCCTCTCTCTCTGCTCAGAGATACAGATCTGCAAAAATGAGGTAAAACAGTTTCAGGTTTTCAGTAACTGCCAGATCCTCACAGGTTCTTTAGTGTCATGGTGCTGTTTTCTTTGTTTATAACAAACGGTCTGAATTGTCTTGTGTTTTAATGCTAACTTGCTTCAAAAACAAATTTCCCCTGTAAAACAATAGAACATACTTTTGAGGGCAGTTTTTACATTAATTATTGAGCCTCTGGATGGGACAACAAAGCCACGCAGGGTCTGATCCTGCCAGGAGGACAGTGGCTCTGTGAACCATCATTACTGAGACAAATCAAAGCTCAGAAACCAAGCTCTCCCAGAAAGTATGAATTCACCGGGGTAGAGTTTGGGTGTCTGACCTGCACAGCTGCCGGTCGGGGTCCGCATCCTGTTGCGCCCACGGAGCGACCCTCCTCTTCTTGATGAATCTTCTTTTGAGAGAAGCCGAGGACAAGGTCCCAGATGCGAAACACTCTTTTTTCATCAAGTCCAGCGATGACATGGGACCCGCGCTGTAGTCAGTTCACTGCGGCGGCCTCATAGGACAGAGGCACCGAACAGATGTCGATGGCTCCGCAAAGTCTGCAGCTGCGTCTCCCAGGGTCCGTGTGCGTGCTTCAAAATAAAAGTTATGGTTTGTGATAGAGCGTTTATTTCTGTTTGTTACATTGTTGCGTTAAAACACCTCGTTAACTGGCTCTCACATGCTGACATTTGCGTAGTGTATGGAACAAACCAAATGCCCGTTAGCCAGCAGAGGCGGAGCCAAGGGGTGGCCAGGTGCCACCCCTGCCACAGTCCCAGTGTCAGAATTAAAGAATACAAAATTAAAAATAACGACAAATTGTTGCCTTAAATACAACTACCATTTTTCTGATGCGTCACAATTGATATTGGCCAAACTAGATTTATTTTAAATCATGCACGGAGCATGATATTTGCATTCATTTCTCCATTGTGTTGTGGAGTACTTGGCATCTGGCACTAGCCAGCACTGGGACACCCAGGTGAGTTTCATTACAATGGTCTAACTATAGAAGTAAGAGACTGAACCTCTGTCTACGAAAGGCCAGTGTGTTCAGCGCATAGTATCTCGTGTGCACCTTGCACAAGGCTTGTAACCATGTCTATAAACCGGGCACATGTTCACTCGCACGCTGGAAGTGCTTGGTGAACAAAAAACAGAAATCCCTTGGAAAAGGGAAATCAGTGGCCCAGAGCCTCAACAGTAATGAAGAAATTACTGGCCACACCTGAAATGCATGTACATGTACATGCATGTATACCCATAGTAAAACACAATAAGTACAGCAAGAACTTAAATATAGTGTAGTGGCCATATAAACATACATTTATTTGTCCTAACTGTGTTATGGTGTGACTACTGCTGCAATTAGGCCTATATATATATATCTTTAAAGTAGCTTATGTCCTCCTGTTACCTGCCCAGGTAGGTAGGGTGGTGTGAAGGCGATGCTACTGTAAACACCTGTTCAACAGGATCCAATGAGCCGCTCTCACACCGATGAACAAATACAGTACAAAAGCTTGACAGTGACAGGGAGTCAGTTTATCTAAGGGTTTTATTTTTGAGGTTTTTCTGTAAAAAAGAAAAGTTTGAAGGACAAACATGTTCAATATGTCATAGGCCAGTAACAAACACAGTGTCTAGCACTAACCACACTAACCAGCAGTCATCCCAGTGACACAGATGCTTTTCAGGGTCAAGATCTCACCTGCAACTACAGGAACCTGTTTTATTCCAGAATAAGATCCTGTAAACAAACAGCACCTTTGCTCACAACAGATGTAAACCATTTAACTCAGTGTTGACAGTTAATTACAACATATGTTTTGCCACAAACAAAAACTCTTGAGTCATAACAGTGAAGAAGGTGCCTCAGTTTTATGATCTTGATGATTTACATGCAGCTTTCCCCCCAAAAATAGAAGAATACACTTTGGGAAACAACCTTTATAACATTGTGTGGCGTCTGTAGTAAGAAACTAGTACATCGTTACTGTGGCTCACACCTGGGCACCTGGGCTTTAACAAACCTCTAGTGACAGCAGTGACATTCGCTTGGCTTTGGTAAAACTATAACACTATCCAGAGGTTTCTCATCTTTCAGTTTTTCAAGCATGAATTATACACCTCATCAGAACATCACAGGCACTTGGAGTGACTTCCTCTGTGCACAGATGCTACGTGCTCACTGTAGAACATAAGAACATTCATGTTTGGACTCTTTCCATTACAAAGCTGTGCAGTGGGGCTGAACAAACAGCTTTGTCATCATCACTGAGTTGCCTACGCAGATAGTGGATGGACAAAATGACACGTGACACAGCGAGCGTCCCCACAAACTACGCAAACATGAGTGACAAGTTGAATCAGCACAGTTCCAGTAGAGCACACTTCATTGTGTGTCCACGTGGTGATGTCCAGCCCGTACAGTCACAGTCACAGGAGGATGAATCAGGCCAAGTTAACAGCACTACAGTTTCAGTGTTTATACTCAGGCCAATGGTTCTTTAGCTCTTTTTGATCCAACTGTCCATTCAATCCATTAAGGCATTTTCTGATATTTATGGCCATAAGCCTCTGTCTTGGCTTTCAGCTCTCTGTGCCCAGTAGAGGGTTATTTTGTTTCGCTTACCACAAAGACTAGGAGCAGAGATAAAATTACCTGAAACAAGTGAAAAGGCCCAACTTCCATTTGCCCATTCATTCAAACAGTTTTGGTCAAATTGCTCCAACTACAAATCACAGTGTCAGTGTCATTAGACAGTGTTTCTCCCAACTGCAGGTTGAGTCCAGCAGTTTGTGCTTCCAGTCTTTGTGATAAACAGGTTTCCTCATATGATTGTTCCTCAGTCCTCACTCCACCCAGAGGTCGTTCACAGAGGGAGGAGGCTGCTGGAGAAGCCAAGAGGAAACAGCACATCTTTTACAAAATCTTTTAAGGACTGGCACGCCCCTTTATCGGAAATCAGATGTTGACTGGACGCTTCAGATGAAGGATTGAAGGAAAAAAAAGACGTTTCCTCGAGTCCTCTCTCCTCACATCTTATGTGGGCGGGACTAAGACACAGTGAAAGGATGCAAATAAGGGAGATGTGGCTGCATATAAGGTATTTGAAATGTAGCCACTGGGGACTTGGTGACTCTTAGCCCTGATCCAGGACTGCCACACTACAAATCACAGTCCAGCATCGCCACCTCACGGACATCAACAGTTCAGTCACAGAACACCTCATTAAAAAAAGTCACAAAAACTGACTGAAGCTTACCTGTTGATGAAGCCCATGGGATGCAGGTAAGGTTCTGCAAAACGCAACTAAGTGCAAGATTAATTTGTCAGCTATGATTTCTATGACAAGGGATAAACATCTGTACAATCAAAAATGTCTTGTTTCACTCTACACCTGGAGATCGGCAGCGAACTCAGTGCTGCCACCAGTGGCTGCATGATAAACTGCAGCAGTACTACTGAATATAAAGGCCGTGTCCTGTAGCTCCACCACCTTAACCCACGTCAGTTTATTAGGCACACCTAGTCCAATGTTCAGTTTGTGTTCAGAATCTTTTGTTCAACTGTGTGATCATTTTGGAGGCTATGCTGCTGTTAAACTGTAGTGCATTATACAGAGTCCTGACAAACTACACCCTCCTATGTTTATACAGGATCTTTGACAGACTGCTACCATCCACTGAATGTTTCCAATATTCTTGTAATGAATTTTACGAGCTGCTCAGTGACTGAAGTGTCCAGAGTTCGAGGAGACTGCAGTGTAGGACTGTGGCAGGTGGCATAAGGGCCATGAATCAGGACAGGCTGTAACTCTGCAAAGGAGGCACGGCTCCTCTAATCAAGCAGGTATGTTACTGGGCTCAACAGTAACACTGTAATCTTCAGTCGTGCTCCTTGGAGAAATACCAGAACAAATTCAACTACTAACCGAGGAACAGTAATACATTATGAACACTAAAATACCTTCGCAATGAAACGCTTTCCCCAACACAGTCTACCAAACACACCAGTCTTATCAAACTACTCGGTGAAGTGTTCTTGAAGTAATGCCAGAGTGATGTTATCACCAGAAAAGGTGAGTCAAACAGCCCCGGCCGATGTCCTCATGTTCCGCGGGCTGCGACACAACATCCATCAAAAAGCTGTGGCACGGTACCTGAACTCATCTCAGAGTTAGTCAGCATGGAGGCGACCCTGAGCAGGTCCGTTCTGTCCAGAGCCGCCTCTCAGGGCTACGTGTGTGATGTGAGATGGGCTACGACTCTTTGAGCATGTTGATCTGAGCAAAGATCTTGAGTGCAGGACCCAGTTTTATGTTCATGGTTCCCATGAGATGGTCCTCTTTCAGCAGCAGCAGGGCCTGCCCGTCGATCTCCTGAGAGCGGAACTCCTCAGCAATCTCCAGGCAACCTGCAGCCACAAACCGCCCACAGTCATTTTGCACCACAGCTCTGCACCAAGAACTCCCCCACCCGACTACATTCATTTACCACCATAATGTTCCCTCCACAGACGGTATTAGAGTAACCTGTATGGAAGTCCATCTCACTATTTCCAGGCATTATCATAAATGCAGATAGTATCCAACAACTGCACTATAGAAAGCTGAAGTGAAACTGAAACTTCCCATGGTGCTCTGGTAGAAGGAAAACCCCGTTCAAACGCCCACTGAGATTTCTAATCTGGCTAATAACTAACTGGCAGAGCCCACCTGGCAGAGAGGAGATGAACTCGTAGACATCATCTATGTTCCACTGGCCAGGGTCACTGGGCTGGACGCTGTGGGGCAGTAGGGGCAGCTCAGAGTCTCGCACCGCAGGCAGCCGCTGGGTGGGTGACAGTGGGGACAGGGGGCTTTTGTAGCCAGACAGGTCTGAACATTGGCTGGGCTCTCCCTGCCCAGGGTGCACCGAGTGACCGGTGGTCAGAGCAGCTGCAGCAGGCTTCTGCACAGAGGGAATCTGACACACAACACTTCTGTCAGTGACGTGACTGGGCCAAGAGGAAAAAGATCTCACTTTACTGATGTCTGCCCAATATGGCAACATGATCGAATGCAGAAATGAGATAAATAGATCTCACTTTACTGATGTCTGCCCAACATGGCAACATGATCGAATGCAGCAATTAGATAAAAGTCAGTTGTCCTTCATGTTTACCAAGATAAGGAGTCCTGACTGTTGCTTACCTTCTTTTTGGGCTCCAAACTGGAGTTCCTGAGGTTTCCGTTCAGTGCTCTTTGCTTCTTCATGTTTTCCAGAGTGGTTTTACGGTTTGGGAAAAGACCCATTCTCTTTGTGCAACCCACACTGTAGCTACAGAGAGAGTCAACATGGTAAGCTGAAACTTATTCTTAAAGATAACGAAACCTTCGTTTTCACAACAAACACTACCAGTTCCTCATCTGTACATCATGTGCAGGTCAGTCCCTCTGTAAGGGCTCTATCAGTGCCTAAGCACAGCTTCTCTGTGCACACACACAGAGGCAGTTTCAAACATCCCATGTTCTCTATTTTACAGCACTGTGACAATGAATGACAGGAAAGTCTTCGCTGCCTTGCCTTACCGTTTGGCACATACTGTAGAGCAGAACCTCTTGGACCTTTTAAAGGTGTAGGCAAAGTCCACCTTGCCACACAGCTCGCAGGTCAGCATTGGCTCCTGCTGGGCCTTTAAATCTGAGGGAACACACAGCCAACACACCATCAGCGCCACAGTCAACACATTTGTGTAGGGTCATGGCACAGCGGAGCTGATCTGTTAAAATTTCACTGTGTGATCTGAATTTACTGGCTGATGAACATCCCAGTCAACCATGGCCATGGGTGTCTGGGATCAGAGCTCTGAGCCTCAACATGCTGCAAAACAAAAATGCTTTTTAAATTGTCTAACAGCAGGCTGGAGCTGAATGGATGGGTGGGGAGAAGGTGGAGCCCTGTGACCACATAATGTTTTGTTTAGCATCCTGAAGAAAAGAAACATCAGCTCCGCATGTGCACCTGAACTTTACCCTTTGAGAGGCCGTCCATCTTTGAGTTCGCTGTGTGTCTCCTTAGGTAGTCAACTGAGAAAGATGGACGTTCAACCTGCAGACCGAAAAATCTTTCATTACAAAAGCAGATACCACAGTAAAACAGCGAAAGCATCACTGGACTCTACTAGAACAAAGTACAGATATGCTTTGGCTCCTTGCTTGAATTGGACAATCAAAACCAGGACTCATTTCCACAGTGGAGACATACATTCCTTCTGTGTTGTATTAGTTAGCAGGACAGACGTCCCGCCCACGAGCACTTCTGATCGGACAGACTCTGCTCAGTAAAGCGTCGCTGCACATATGTGAACGCATGCGTTTGTTGCTTGGAGACACTCGTGTAGTTGCTACATTTAAACTTGTGTGAACGTTAACGTTCTGACTAGGAGGCGCTCAAACTATAAAGTACAACACAGTAGGAGTCAGGAAGCATTTGAAAGACTTTGCCTTCTGTCTCTCAACAGGAAGTCAAATCAACCAACTAGCATGCAGGGCACACAGCTTTCCACCATGCATACTGTAACTGAGATTTGGAGGTGTGCACGCTGGCCCATCTATGCCACTACTCTGAAGGACAGTGTACTATCACGGTACTGTAACATAATCAACACATCCTCCAGTACGGAAAGGGAATTACCACCTGTGAGGACGGTCAGGAGTAACTCAGCTGGTAAGCCCCAAAAGAAATTCTTGTAGATATCTAGAATCCTGGTAGGCTAAGCTCTTCACTCTGTACCCACGTCATAAAGCTAAAAACACCACATAACACTCCACTGGAGCCGTCACCTTTGTTCGTGTGCACGTTATGTGAGTACTATGCTTTAGTTATGTTTCTGGCAAATGGTTATTACATCCAAACAACATAAATCCAACAATGGCACGTGAAGAACGTTTCTTAGACTGTATTATGACCATATTAACCTTTTAGGTATTAAGAACTTTGCCAGTTTTCATTTGTGAGGACAACAAAACAAGTAGGTCTGGAACTCCTTGGTTCTGAGTGTGGACGTGCAGAGTACCCTGGGCCAAGGCGTGCATGTGCGCTGTGTCATCAGAGACAGACCTCTTTCCAT